ATTAAAAAATTTTACAGGGAATTTGGAAAAGCAGTTATACAGGCGGAAAAGCTGCCATCTACTGGCAAAATGCAAAAATGTTGGGAGAATATTTGGAGCAACTCAAAGGAATATCGCCGAATGCTGGATAAACCTCTGCAAAAGTGGGAAAATATAACCAAAAATAATGTTAGGTAAGGTCTGACAGAATCAAAAATTGCAAATCAACAGAAAATGACAAGTTGCCCTATTTCTGGTTCTATCATTTCTCATCAATCCATAAACCCTTGCACAGAACTCATTCGATGCTTACTAATAATCCCAATGAAATCCCTGAATGGATCACTGAAATTATTAGGTTGGTGCAAAAATAATGACATAATAATGTCGTTTTTTTACGCACTTTTCTACGTCAAAAACGACATTCTTACGTCATTATTTTTGCACCAACCTAATATTACATATCTCATGCCGAAAACAAGTGAAACAGGTGACCCGAAAAAATATAAACCAATTACATATACGTATAAATTGATCACGTCTCTCCTGACAAGCCGTATTTACTCTTTTCTCGAAACAAACAACATTCTTCCACTGGAACAGAAGGGATGCCGGAGAGGTTCATATGGTTGCAAAGATTAACAACAGGTAACCAAAATAACCCTAGAAAATTGCAGGAGACGATACAGAAATCTTAGTACAACATGGATAGATCACGGTAAAGCCTTTGATAGTGTGACATACTCTTGGATACTTAAGACTTTGGAAATGTACAAAGTCTCTCCCGTGAAAGTAATTTTTTTTCTTCACAGCATCGGAATGTGAAAAACGACCTTATAACTAAATCACACCAGAGAAAACCGCCTGAATATCTGACGAGGAATCCTTTAAATCACCTCGTCTGTTTTGTAGGTCATTAATTCCCCTTATGCATGAACTAAACAATAATATCTATGGTTATAAACTAAACAAGAAAACACTCAATCACTTACTCTATATGCATGATCTCAAATATTTGCCAAAGCCGGCAATGAGTTGAAGGGTCGCCTCTGTTATGAGACCTTACCCAAAATAACATAATGGACTATTCCATACGTAATAAATACTGCGCCTCAAGAGGAAGCAGGGAGTTCAGTCTGAAGTCTAGAGTTCCGTCTGAAGTCTGGAGTGAAGTCTGAAATCTGAGTTGAAGTCCGTCAGGAGTCTGTCAGTCAGTCAGAGCGAGTCAGTCATCAAGTCAGAGGCAGTCCAAAATTGCAGCACAGGGATAGCCAAGGTCCTTATAGCTGATATTCTGTCGCATTCAGACAAGTACTACTAAACCTGATTGTTCGTACTAACACTTTTCTACCTATCTGTATATATTCCTGTTTGTAATATATCTGTGTTATTCCCTATCCGTATTTGAGTTCTTCTTTATTGGTTCTACCTTGGACTATCACCGTGGTACAAGAAAGCGGACCATAACATCCTCAATACTGAAAAAATGTTTCAGTGATGGCCTAGGTATAGATTTCGGAGTAGATAAATCTGCAAAAGTAACATTCAAGAAAGAGAGAATTACAGAAACAGACTCAAAAGATTTGGGTTTTGGCACAAAAATTAGGGAATTGGAACAAGAAGAAGCCTTTAGCTATCTAGGGATTTGCGAAAGACATGGTATACAGCATACCCAAATGGAGAAGGGAAGAAAGGAGTACTACAGTTGTGTGCGTCTGGTATTTAATACCAAGCTGAATTAAAAAAAAAAAACAAAAACAAAAACAAAAAAAACAGAATATCAGCTATAAGGACCTTGGCTATCCCTGTGGTGCAATACAGTTTCAACATTGTTAACTGTACCATTGAGATGAAGCGAATGAACGCCAAAATGAGAAAACCTCTCACCTGACACTGCGTGCATCATCACAAGGCAGATGCTGATCGTCTCTATGTGCCCAGATCCGAAGGAAACAGAGGATTAGTTCAACTAGAATTGTCTTACAAAACTACAACAATTGGCCTTCAAAGATACCTAGATACTACAGAAGATTGATTGATGATCTGTGCCAAAGAACATGAAAGTAGTAGTTGTTTTTATCCGGTGATAAAGGAAGCCAACATGGTTTAAATAAAGCTTCAATTGAGTGAAGAAATACAAGTAAATTATAATACAACGACTGCAGCTGCAAAACACTTAAAAAAGAAAGCAAAGCGATATTCACACATAATTGCCATGACTTAAATGAAATGATCCAATAGAGAAATAAATAAATTTTCACCAATAACACTGATTTATTTACTGCTGACTTTGATCCGTCTTAATGAAACACCCTTATATATAATCCGTCTTAATGAAACACCCTTTACCTGAGGAACACTTTGAACTATCTAATATCTGAGAAACTAATTGACTTTAATATCTGATGCACCTATTCACCATCTAATATCTGATGAACATATTGACCCCCTAATTTCTAATTAACCCATTGACACTCTAATTTATGAGGAAAACAATGACTCACAAATATCTGAAGAACCCTATTGAGCATCTAATAACTGAGGAACACTTTAACCCTATAATATCTGATGAACAAATTCACCCTCGACTATCTTAAGAATCCATTGACCGACTAATATCTGAGGGACTCTTTGACTGTTTAATATCAAGGTGTTCAGCCCTAACATCAAATGATTTCGTCTAACAAAATCAAACCATGAAAACTAGAATAATAATAAAAAGAATAGCAAAAACCTTGAAATAAAAATTGGAATAATATGACATTAAAACACACCTCACGATCACGAGACCCGCAAACCATTAAGGGCACAATATGTACTTCAGCCGCAATAGATGTGGTTTTTCCTGGTTAGGATAACCTGACGGAACCCAACGCTCTCCAAACCGCTTTTGAATTCTGAAGGTTTTTTAGACCGGTTGCCACACAAAGCTGTAGGACTCGGTATGTCCAGCTATTTTACCCATAGCCGGTGATTAATTCTCAACTTTCCCAAGGGTATTAGCACATAAGTTCATATAACGAACTCGACTCTTTGTTACCTATATAAGATTCCTCAGTCCGAGCCACAAACCATTAGTCTACTCTGCCTCCTCTGAAATACAGCTACCATTCCAATAATAAGAGGAACACTCGGAATGCTTCAAAGAAAAAGAAACTCTCTCAGCATAATATGTTCAGTAACCTTCTGTGAAAAACTTCCTTTACCTTAAATCTCAGATAAAAGATTTGGTGCAGGGTGTCCCAATAATAACATGAACACTCGGAATGACTAAAAAGTATATAATTAAGAAAATACCAGGAAAGCCTTCATTATGTGATACCAAGGTTTGGGCTCCAGAGAACCGATCATTGCCTCAGAAAAAGAAACTCTCAGCGTAATATGCTTAGTAACTTTCTGAGAAAAACTTCCTTTACCTTCAGATAAAAGATTCGGTGCAGGGTGCCCCAATAATAGCAAGAACACTCGGAATTACTGAAAAGTATATAATTAAGAAAATAAGGAAAAATGTGATACCAACTCCAGAGCAACGATCATCGCCTCAGAAAAAGCTCTCTCACAATATGCTTGATGAGAAAAACTTCCTTTACCTTCAGATAAAAGATTCGGTGGGCCCCAATAATCCAGTATATAATTAAGCAACGATACCAACATCCAGAGCAACGCATCGCCTCAGAAAAAGAAACTCTCTCAGCGCAATATGCTTAGTAACTTTCTGAGAAAAACTTCCTTTACCTTCAGATAAAAGATTCGGTGCAGGGTGCCCCAATAATAGCAGGAACACTCGGAATTACTGAAAAGTATATAATTAAGAAAATACCAGGAAAGCCTTCACTATGTGATACCAACGTTTGGGCTCCAGAGCAACGATCATCGCCTCAGAAAAAAACTCTCTCAGCGCAAAAACCTTCAGATAAAAGATTCGGTGCAGGGTGCCCCAATAATGCTTAGGAAACTCGGAATTACTGAAAAGTATATAATTAAGAAAAAAAAGCCTTCACTATGTGATACCAACGTTTGGGCTCAAGATCATCGCCTAAAAAACTCTCTCAGCGCAATATGCTTAGTAACTTTCTGAGAAAAACTTCCTTTACCTTCAGATAAAAGATTCGGTGCAGGGGAACACTCGGAATTACTGAAAAGTATATAATTAAGAAAATACCAGGAAAGCCTTCACTATGTGATACCAACGTTTGGGCTCCAGAGCAACGATCATCGCCTCAGAAAAAGAAACTCTCTCAGCGCAATATGCTTAGTAACTTTCTGAGAAAAACTTCCTTTACCTTCAGATAAAAGATTCGGTGCAGGGTGCCCCAATAATAGCAGGAACACTCGGAATTACTGAAAAGTATATAATTAAGAAAATACCAGGAAAGCCTTCACTATGTGATACCAACGTTTGGGCTCCAGAGCAACGATCATCGCCTCAGAAAAAGAAACTCTCTCAGCGCAAATAGCTTAGTAACTTTCTGAGAAAAACTTCCTTTACCTTCAGATAAAAGATTCGGTGCAGGGGCCCCAATAATAGCCCCAATAATATAATTAAGCAGGAACACTATGTGAATTATCGCCTGAAAAAGAAACTCTCTCAGCGCAAATATAACTTTTAAAAAAATACTTCAGATAAAAAAGGGTGCCCCAATAATAGCAGGAACACTCGGAATTACTGTATATAATTGAAAATACCAGGAAAGCCTTCCAATACCAACGTTTGGGCTCCAGAGCAACGATCATCGCCTCAGAAAAAAAACTCTCTCAGCGCAATATGCTTAGTAACTTTCTGAGAAAAAACTTCCTTTACCTTCAGATAAAGATTCGGTGCAGGGTGCCCCAATAATAGCAGGAACACTCGGAATTACTGAAAAGTATATAATTAAGAAAATACCAGGAAAGCCTTCACTATGTGATACCAACGTTTGGGCTCCAGAGCAACGATCATCGCCTCAGAAAAAGAAACTCTCAGCGTAATATGCTCAGTAACTTTCTGAGAAAAAAACTTCCTTTACCTTCAGATAAAAGATATGGTGCAGGGTTGTAGCAAAGAGATAACCAGGAAAACTGAAAATAATTATAATATTTATAATCGTGGTTAAGTAGGCTAAGATATGAGAGATGCATATTGCAAAAGGCAAATAAAGCAATTAGAAAAGATACAAGCGAAAACGAATAATCTGAAAGTCGATGTGTTGAATGTGATAGAATATCTCCCAAGAGACAATAATCATATACAAAATAAAGATGTCTGAATCCGTTTCTCTTTAGCTAATTTAATATCTACTCTCTATCTATCTATCTCACTTTCCCTCTTTCTCCGTCTATCTCTCCCTGTCTATCACTTTCTCATTCTCTTTCTCTGTCTATCTCTCTATCTCATTCTCTGTGTGTCTATTTCACACACTCTTTCTATATCGTTCTATCTCTGTCTCCCACTTTTCTCTGTCTATATCACTCTTTCTCTCTCCCTGTCTATCTGTCTCCAACTCTCTTTCTTTTTCTCTGTTTATTTCTCATTCTTCCTCTCTTTCGCTCTGTCTATCTCTCTTTGTCTGCTTGTCTCTTTCGCACACTCTCTCTCTCTCTCTCTCTCTATCTCTCTCTCTATCTATATCTCTCTCTCTCTCTCTCTTTCCATCCCTGTCTCTCACTCCTTCTCTATCTATTTCTATTTCTCTCTCTTCTTTTCTCTCTTTCTCTCTCTCATTTTATCTTTCTGGCTCTCACTATATCGCTCTCTGCCTGTCTATACTTTTTTCTCTCTCTCTCTCTCACACACACACACACACATACACACACATACTCTCTCTCTCTCTCTCTCTCTCTCTGTATCTGTATGTTTTTCTCTCTCTCTCTCTCTCTCTCAAGTTCTCTCTCAATCTATCTTTCACCCTCTTACTCTGTCGTTCTATCTCTCTCTATGTCTATCTCACTCTCTCTCTCTCTGTCTCTCTCTCTCTTTTCCTGGGTGTGGAGTAATATTGAATCAGTTACTTGGAATTAAATAAAAAAGAACTCTTGCAGACCCGTCAAGTAACAAACAGGAAAAAACAGGCTTGCCCAAATCGAGGAGACTAATAGGATTCTTTTCAACAACAAGTTAGAACCGATACTGTTGATTAAAGAGTTACTCAAGTTGCATTTTTTCAAATATTGAGCTTAATTTTTCGCCCCGACGCCATATTACTCAGTAGACGCCATCTTTATACAACACGTTTCCCAATACTAAGTGTTTTCTTCGCTTTCTCCCTGGACAATCGGATGCGCAGGCGTGTCAAAAACGCTACTGCATTACATAAACATATTATATAGATATACATATATATATATATATATATATATATATATATATATATATATATATATATATGTGTGTGTGTGTTTGTGTGTGTGTGTGTGTGCATTTCTAACGTTTTTATGATCAAAGTAAATAAATAATAAACAAAAACGATTCTTTACTGTTTCATCATTTCTTAGTTATCATAGTATAGAAATCACTAGTAACCGTTGCACATATTTTTATATATATATATATATATATATATATATATATATATATATATATATATATATATATATATATATCACTTTTTCCACTCATCTCCTAGAGGCCGTAGCCCTACATATTATTTTGGAATCACGCCGACTCCGTAAGTGTTGTGGTAAACCCTTTTACAGTATAATGAACTCTTCCTTCTCTCATAAATACAAACTGCGAGAGCCGGACGGGAGCGCAGAGTGTGAAGTGGAGTGGAGTAGAAGACGCAGTGCTAATCTACTTATTACTAACACTAATGTTTTCTATATATCTTCAATATACTTTTTTTCAACTGACCTTCGTCTTCTGTGTCTTTCTTTCTGGCCCTTAAACAGGCCACAACAGTAAGCAAATTAAAAACATTCCGGTTTGGATCCGGGCTAGCAACTCTGAAATTTTGAATTCACAAGTTTTCATTACAGCGATTGTTTCAGCGATATTTTTACGTGATATTCTGCAACGAATTTTTTGTACGATAACAATTTTTATATACTTGGAAATAAATTTGGGAATAATCAAAATTAACTGTGAAGCCTAGCGAAAGTCATCCATGAAATAAAAATAATTGTTTGGACAGAAATTAAGGACCCACGTACATCAAATTATCTTTAAATTAAGTGTCGATAGAAGAATTATCATTCAACATTTAAATGCAAATGCAACAGTTAAAGGCAGCGTTTAATTTTAAGTTTATCTGTAGTTTATACGGCGGTATATATATATATATATATATATATATATATATATATATATATATATATATATATATATATAAGTGAACATAGAAGTCAATACTTAGAGGCGACAGTCTGTTTCATGCTATATGCAGTCGTCAGGCCACGATTGCATATAGCATGAAACAGACTGTCGCTCTTAGTGTTGACTTCTATGTTCACTTTTATATTTACACACGCCCTATCTCTGATATCGAGCACTTTATCCCATAAATATAGCAGACCTTAAGACTATATTTCTTCATATATATATATATATATATATATATATATATATATATATATATATATATATATATATATATATATCACTTTCAAAAAGTTGAAACGAAAAATGAATACAGATTGTCAAGTTTTTCGTAACTTAAATATATATATATATATATATATATATATATATATATATATATATATATATATATATATATTCATACAGGTTTCATTAAATAATATAGACAAGTGTTGTCTATTTACTTTATGTAAATTCTTTTCATAACGTCTGATAAGTTTAATAACATTATCATTAAACGAAGAAAGAAAATCACAATATTGATCCATGTTTTTTAATCCAAGCTTTCGGCACAGTGGATAAAGGCGTTGGTTAGATCCAGAGACAGTATCCAAAGAGCGTGGGTTCAATATCCGGTTAAGGCAGTGGAGAACTTGAAGAGAGGAATTAACAGGAGATAACTGATGACACCCATTAAACATGGCACGTCGAACTAGAACAATCTACCCCGGTGAGCGAAATAAAGGTTCAGTTTGACATTCCAGCCACCTGAAGAAGGCCGGAGCGTACAACGTCCGAAACTTTGTAATAAATATGGCAACAAAGATGAGGAAAATAGTCCGAATAATGCAAATAGTGTACATAATACCTCATCTCAGAAATACAGATACTTTTGGGTGTGTGTGTGTGTGTATATATATATATATATATATATATATATATATATATATATATATATATATATATATATATAAGCAAATATATGGATATAGATCCGACAGTATGAAGAAAAATATACCGAAAAAACAAACAAAAATTCTAATATGCGATTATGCTGTTTTAATGTTAATATAATTATGTTTTATGAATATGTTCTGAAGATGGTCTATTAGACCGAAACGTCCAACGTTGACATTATATTAACATTAAAACAGTATAATTGCATATTAGGATTTTTGTTTGTTTTTTTTCCGTATGTTATTCTTAATATATATATATATATATATGAAATATAGTCTTAAGATGTGCTATATTTATGGGTTAAATTGCTCAATATCAGAGATACAGCGCGTGTAAAGTACTCGCAATGCACCACTTACCCATATATATATAAATAGCTGAGAAAACTAATTGAGGTGTGTGTGTGTGTGTGTGTGTGTGTGTGTGTGTGTGTGTGTGTGTGTGTGTGTGTGTGTGTGAATATCTAGTTATATACGCATATGTCTATACAGAGTGCATTAAAATTACTTTACAATCTTTGGGGCCGGGTGTCTCACACTAAAACAAGGACAAATCTCCATATACGCATATGTCCGCAAATTCTTCGTTTTTGAATTATTTAGTTTAAAGAAAGTTTACGTTAATCAGGACCCCCCCCCCAAATGTTTGTAAAAGAATTGTTGGATTGTATATTTAACAGCGTAAACAGGTCTTTATTTTTCTTTTTCATTTAGAGTTGTCCTTCTCCTCGACCGTTCGCCATCCAGGGTTATAGGACCCAATCTCTCCTGCTATTTATCCATAGCTGGGGAGAGAAAAGAAGGATTTATACATTTCACAAGGGTTTTAGCACGTAAATGAATGTAATGAACACGACTCCTCGATTCCTCAAACCGAGACGCTATCCACGTGATTTCTTATATATACATATATACGAACATGATAGATATTTTGCATGAAGAGAAGTATGTAGAGATAGTTATTTATTTATATACGTATGTGTATATATCCAAACTACTTTGATTAAAAATAGCCGACAAGTTCTGTCTGCTTAATTATTTATTTTATTTTCCAAAATTTCGGATAAGGCGTTGAGAATTGTGTTCTAAATAGTGGATAAACGGTCCGATATTCATATTTTGTTATCTTTTTTTCAATTATTTAATATGGTGGTCTGTGTGGTAGCTAGACTTACTTTCTCTGCACCCTGGTATTCCTTGGGGCTTAACTTTTGAAATGGTTAAGGGTGACGCCATGTGTAACGAGTATTGAAAACGAAACCGCACAAAAAGAATGAGATTTATTTATTTCTTAATTTAATTTAAATATTCATTTTTTATTTATTTTTTATTTTTTATTCTATTTTATTTTGTTTTTAAAAACATTTTACTTCAAACAAGGCGTGAGTGAAAATAGCACGCAGGAGGTTACAGAGAGTGAGAGCAAGGTTACAGAGGGGTGCTTAAAAGGATATAGAGAAGGGCGGATCAAAAAACATCAGAAGATGTCGATTGACATTACATTTGAATATTTGAAGATTATAGTCATCAGTGAATCAAGTAAGAGGAAGGGAGTTCCACTGACGGGAAGTGCAAGAGAAGAAGCTGTTGGAGTAGAAGAGGCGGTTGCATTTAACTGTTTCGACAATGAAAGGATGGGACTGAGATGCACTCTTAAATTCATGCAGTTGGGCCACCGGTGAAAATAGATCGTCAGAGCAGTTGCCATGAAAATATTTGTAGAAAAGACAGACGAAAGCCACATCACGTCTATGAGAAAGTAACTGTAGTCGAGATGCCAGATCAGGACTTATCACATTGCATATTCGTCACTGAGTTTTTTCTAGGACCTCGAGATGAAGAGCAGGGGCACAAGACCATATATGGTAACAGTATTCAATGCAAGGACGAATGGTAGATTTCTTATTATATACTGATAAAATATGTGCGCACATTAATTATCACAAATGCATTTCAAGATACCCTTTCTTCTGTTGAATGGTTGTGGGCTGCTTATTTTATATAACAATAGCTTCTAGAATGTTGAGTCTTTCCCTGCTTTGGGTGCTGTAGTGTATTTTGGTGTTATCTACTAGTATTTATCTTATGTTGATAGTTGTACTTTGGTCATTCATGGTGTGCTGGTCGATGTGTGCACGGATTGCACTAGGTCTCGTCAGGTGTCAGGTAAATCTGTGAGAAAGTGTGATGCGTATGTGCCCAATGTAAGCAGTAAGTATTTAATGTTGTTATTTTTTTTTCTTTTTGTTATTAGTGTCAGAGATGCAATCTCCCAGGTGGAGTCATGAGAATTCATAGACAGCACTATTTTTTTCATAGTGTGATTTATAAGGCCAGGAAATATTGATGATAATTCAGATGTTTTAATCTCATTGTAGTAGATGATAAATCTTAGGTGTTTATTCGAAACATTGAGTTATATGTTGTATTATATATTCAATTGCGTTCTCAGCCGCTTATAATTAGGGTCTATTTGGTTACGATAGACTAAGTTGTGTGTTTATTTTTGTTTGCGTTTGATTAACTCAATTAGAGAACGAAACGCGTTGGTAAAGGACAATTTACCTTTAGTATATATATATATATATATATATATATATATATATATATATATATATATATATATATATATATAAGATGTAAAATTTATAAATATAATAGTTCAAAAGCTGATATTAAAAAATATTAAAATAATATTATTAACAATAAAATATTGATAATATGATAAAGTTACTTCACTGTAAATATCTTTTTTTCTTAATATGTT